ATACAAAATATTTTCAATCATTGTCCAATTTTTTTAGCTTATCAAATCGAAACAAAAAAAATTTTTAGTTTTCTTAACGGAAAGTTACAAAGTGTACTTACCTTCCCATTAATATCACTTGAAATAATGATATGTTGATACGGCTGGAGGTGCTGACGCTTGAACTTAGGCTTAAACCGAAAAGTCCCGTCGATATTTATTTGAGAGCCATCGAAGTAATTGAGATATTCAACATTGTAAAATGCTAAGCATTGATTAAAAGTATCTCCAAAATTTAGAGTCATCATTTGGTAGGAAACCTTGGCACCTTGCTCATTTGCGAGAGTATATTTTAAATACTCTCTCCCTCTAGGAGAAGTCACAAACTCGGTAAAAGCTAAAAAGCTTACTGGGTTATGTGGCTGATTTCCCCGAAAATCACGACCCATTTGACTTCTCACTGTTTTATAAGGAATTTCTTGAGCTGCCACAGGATGTCTATAAAATGAAATGATTACAATTAATAATAATAGTTATTTGGATTCACTGGCTATTATTAGTAGATTTCATAGAAATCTAACTATTGCAATGGTCCTCATGACGTAACTTTTGAAAAATTTTGCTATATTCCGAATTAACTCGACGAGCTGAGTCAGAAAATACATATGGTTCAAAAGTTTATATATGTATGTATAAAACAAAATAATAATTAACAAGGTAAAGAATACTTACTTCTCGTTTAATTGTCGTATTCATTAGATAATTGACCAGCTAATGGCATTGCTTTAGCACGGACCTTTAAATCGACCTTAAGAGCAAGAACTTCTAACAAATTCTCCTGCTTTGGACAAGACTGCTTATGCTCTTTTAAGGGAATAATAGTTTCTGAATTATCAGGATGCTTGATTAAGCGAGCAGAACCTCGACATCTGTAACCAGGACTTTTTATATTTGAACGCTGGTTGCATTTGATGTACCTAAGAGCATATAAAGAATTAGTAGTTAGCAAAATTTCAACATAAAGAAAAGAAAAAAAAACCAAATACATACCAGCAATTTTCAGATGACGGTGAATGAATGTTATAAGTATGTCCGTTAAAATTTTTTGTATTAGCAGCC